TGCAGAGTATATGTTTTTTAGGTCTCTATATTTAAGCTGTACGTACAAAATTATGCCCTTTTTACAGGTAAGATTTAAAAACACTCTGTTTAAATTCATATTCACAGTGCTTATCTTAAATAAATCTTAATTTATAAGTCACAATCAGCTTTGAATGCTTGTTTTAAACCAATTTAAAGTTCCTTCACCTCTTATAAACTCCCAAATATTTATTCGGCAAATACCTTGCCATACTATTTACTTATATGAGACAAGAAGACCATTTAATACACACGGCAATCGGCTGGCAGTGTCTCTGTTTATACAGGTATCTATCTATGTTTAGCGTTCGTTCACGGCTAAGATCCCTCGTGATATTTTTCAATGAGCACAGACACACACGACAACCGACGACTGTCTGCTGGCTGTCCGAAATATTTATGAACCGCATTCGCATAATTATGACTTATACTCTTTTAATCTTTGGCCATTTCGCTGGCGGGCAACGCGGCGTATGCGCAACGCGGACTTTGACTGAGGCGAACATATGTGCCATTAATTTGCAAGTAATTAAAATGCCTTCAAATTACTGCAATCCAAATACAAACAAAAGCAAACCGCGAGTATCTTATGCTGAATGCAGCCCAATTTCGTTTAGTTTGCCAAACGAAACTAAAATACTCGTACGAGTCGCTGTCGCTGTCGTGTCAATTGCGTCATCCACTGCACATTGTGTGGCACACAGATTGTGCCAAGTTTTCAAATATAAATAAAAGTTATATGCGAATGCTTGCTCAGTTCGGCAGCAAGGCGGCAGCAATTAATGCAAAATAAAATGTAATTATACTGCCCGTTTAAAAATAATCGATTTAATTAAATTTAAAATTGCATTCAAAGCTAATTGAAAATTTAAAACACTGGCGTCGAAGGAAGGCGTCTGGCCGTGTTGGGTAATCAGCTACTTAATGCTTCTTTGCCCATGTGCTCTCAAGCATTTGGCAGTAATTGTTCCCAAGAAAAATGTCATAATTAGCGCCAAGGAAAATGGGATAAAAGAAGGACAAACAAAGAGAAAAGCAAATCCAGTTTTTAATTGTAAAACTGATTTGAATTTATAACTAATTATTATTATTAAAACAGAAGATAATGCTGTTAACTTAATACAATTTTCCATTTATCATTTAATCCCCATAAGAAAAGCTTGACTTTGGCTTATAACAAAACACATTCAACTCTTTAAAGACTGCCATTTAGCCTTAATACCCGACTTCTTGGGTATCGTTAAAGAAGCTGTGTGCTGCGTGACTTGGCTTCCGTAATGACTCCCGTGGACGTCTTTCAGCTGGCTGAACTTGGCCAAAGCTTTCCCGCTGAGTGTTAATTACCTAAGACCCATCCGCTTGGCCTGACAAAGATGCGGAGGAAATGGTGGGCGCAGGGAATGGCGGACGGAAGTGCATCGTCGAGGACGACAACGAAAACATTTCATGGCACATTATTTTTATTAATAATTATTTCACATGCAGACCAGACGGGACCGCTTGTACATCAATTTTACATGAGCAGAGGGAGCCTCCTTTGGATGAGTTGTCATGTGGCGGGACGCGGATGGGAATGGGAATCGGAATGGGAAATGGGATGTGGTTGGGTTCGGCTCGGTCCATGTTCCGGACACTGACAGCGGCCGACGACGTTGACGCAAATCGAAAATGCCAACTGTGCGCTCGGGTATCATTATTTCACTTCTGGCCCCTGGTGTCGACAGATACAACATAGTGTACGACTTTTTGGCTATATTTATTTGGGTTCGCTCTCGGGTCTTGGGTTCTTCGGGCTCTGCTTTAATAAGCCTTCAGGTGCAGCCGCAAATGAGGCATGAATTATTTGCGCTGCACATAGATAATTGTAATTGCGGGTTTTCTTTTCTGTTCCTAAAAATAAACGCAAATTTTTGGCATGAAAATTATGGTTTATGTAAGTCGCCGAATGCTAAAATTTTGCGGTATATCATACCATACCATAATGACGCTAATCCGACCCTTATCAATGACGTTCCAGTTCGGTTTCTGCGCCTCCGGGGAATATTCAAATCTGTGTTTTTCCCCCTCGCTCAACCGCTAATGACGTAAATAAATCATGGTATTTCGGGGAATGGAGAAGACCTTAAAGCATCTCAAACTTCCACCAGGAATTAGAGCTTATTCTGGCTTTTTGGTTAAGCCTACTCTCTCCCACTTTCCCATCAATTTCATGGCGTTTTTTTAGCCCGACCTGACACAATGTCTGGCAATTCTAACCCGATGCTGTGCGTGTTTTGATTTGGACGACCTTATCGACTAGCAGCCTCGTTTTTCCTCCTCTTTGGGTTGACATTTTTTCTTATTTTTTTTTATTGCCTCTCTTCCTGCTGGCAGGACATGTAAAAAAAAAAAAAGGAAAAACAAATGCGAGAATAAGAGAACTTGGGAAGGTTTCCTTTTTTATAGAAAACACCTAAAGAAAATTTAGATCTTTATCATTAGGATGAACTGAGAGCGCTTTATGAAGATATAACAACCTTTTTGTATATTCTATTATTAAAAAATATTTTTTAAAAAAACCCAATTAGTGTTAATTTATTTATATTTTATATAACTTCGATGTTTGTATCAAATATTTGCCTTTTTCAATTTATAAAAATATAAGAATTTTATTTATAAACTAAACAAATTCTTTTTTCAATTGATCAATTTTTAATAATAATAAAATTATAATTTGTATTTGGATTAAATAAAAAAAAATTGCCAAGTATTAATTTAAGTTTTCATATAAGCAATTAATTTTTAAAGTACCTATGTTTGTTTTCATTGAGACACTTGCTTTACATTTAAGTTCAATTACCCCCAAAAAAATATTAGTAAAAACATTTATATTTTTTTTATTTACCTTAAAACCTTTGTTTGTTTTTAATCAATTTTCTTTTCGTGTAGATAACAGTTTTCCCGCAGAGCTCAGAAGTTTTTCATTTTCTTTATTTTTCGGTCCTGTTGTTTGAACATTTCCTTTTGTTTCCTTTCGGTTGTGTTTGTAGTAAAAAGTAACAAATATGTGGCATTAATTTTTTTGTTCGCTTTTGTGTTTTGTTTTCAGACGCATTGAATAAAAAGAAAATAAATAAAAATAAGACACACGCACACACACACACACACTCATTGATACGAATGCGATGTGTATTAATATAAATAAAGCGCAAAAGTAAAAGAAGAAAAGTGAAAAAATTGCTAACAACCAAAAAACTTGAGGGGGCCCCCCTTACACCCCCTCGCTTTTCACTTAGCACGCCTGCTTGTCTGGCGCTGTCGACGTCGACAGCGAAGTCGCTTCGCACCCACAGTCGCGTTTTATTGTTTTCCGTTTTCCACGCTCATCGCTCGACGCTCGACGCTTTCCCGACGCCCACAAGCGTGTTCACCTTCTTTTTTATGAATGAACGCGAATTTCTAGCCAGCGGCAGGAACAACAACAACAGCAGTCGGACGCGTGAAATGTGCAAATGGAAAATCACTTAAAAGGCAACAAAAGGCAAGTAACGCGAGCATAAGAACCTGGTCATAACGCCCACTGCCCTCTTACATTTCCCAAGATCCACTACTGCTATTAGGCTAATGAATACGCTGGATTTGGCAACAGCAAATGCCGTCTCACAGCTGATGTAGTTTTCTAGATTTTAAGCTGGTTTACAAAGTTTTAAGAATTTAAATTAGCAGTGAATTTAATAGTTTTTAAACTAAAATTAAAGTGTATGAAAACCTATACTAAATAAATAATTATACTAAATACTAATATTATAATATATAATAGGTATAAAGTTATATTGAAATTGACTTTTTTTGGACTTAAAAGCTCTTTTGTGTCCCTTTAAAAGCCTTAATCTCTTTTTAAATACACTTATTTTACCCATCAATTTGTGATTCACTCTTCTATTCCACTTAAAAAGTCTTTAAAATGTATTTAAATTTAAAATTTTCCCTCAATCTGAATCTGTATTATTAATTATAAACTAATTAACAATTTATTAAGTCATTTTCTTAGGGTTAATTCAAATAATTGCTGTTTGCCAAAAAAGAATTGAATCTGAAACGTTTCTTCTGTGTTTGTACTTGACGAAAAGTAAACAAAAATCTGTGCTCAACCGCGATTGCGGCTTAAATAGTTTTCCCAGCCGTTGTAATAGCCTGCAACCGCTCTTACCATTTTAACCACTTAACCCCATGTTGCCAGCAGCGAACCATTCAGGCCGAACCACAGCTCAGCGAGTCACTGTGGATAAAAACTTTAGTTTCTTGTTTAAATTAATAAAATAAAATGTACCAAGAACAAGAACCCTTGCAGTTTGTAATTGATTTATTAACTAAAAAAAAAAATAAATCTAATAACCAAAGCAAAAAAGGTACTGAATAAAATTATAATAAAAATCTTGAAACATTTTAATAACAAGTTCTTGAACCCTTTTTAAAACCCTTAACTTGTGCCGATTCTAATAATAGTTAATGCCTAAGAATAATTTTGAAAAATTGTACAAACTATTAATAAAACTTTATTAAATATTTTAATAAAAATATTTTAGGACTACCTTTTCTGGGGCGTCATCTTTTAAATCACTAAATTTAATAGATTAATTTAATATATATTAAAACCAATCCTAATTTGTGCTAAAATTTGTAAAAAAAATATTAAAAATCCACCAATAACCAACAATTTACGCCCATTGTATGGAAGCTGCCTTCTTTGTTGTCTTATTTCATTTAACGTTGGCCATTCTGGATTCCACGACGTCTTCGAGACGCAGCTTTGTCTTAATTTCCAGTGATAAGCCGAAAAGGGTGTCCCAACGCCAGCAGCACCACCCCCCTCAAGGTCCACCTACACACTGGCAACGCGTTCGACGGGGATTCGTCATGCGAGGCAACATGTTCGATGCGGCCACCGCGCTCGCTCTTTCCGAATTCAAATTCCATTTCAGTTTGTCGTCGTCGCTCATACGCAACGTTGGCCGGGCGGATAAAACTGATCTGGCAACGGCCGCGGCATTTGTTTAACTAATTGTTGTTGCTCTCGACGCGTGTGCTGCGGGCCAAGATTGTGCGTGGTTTGAAAAAATTATCAAAAAAGAAAAATCATCAAAGGGAAATTTGTGAAATGCCAAGCATTTCGTGATTGAAAAGTTACACTGAAATGATTAAAAGTGTGTGTTAAATGCTGTGTATTGAATACATTTATCAAGAGTCAAAACGAGAAGAAACATATCCCAAACACTTTGGAGTTTGCTGCGATTTAATTGCCCTGCCAACAACATTTTTGACTGGTAAATGGCTTTTGAAATTCCCCCTTGTTTACATTTTGTAAAGAAACTGTCTGCCCGTTGTTCATCAAGTTTTTGAAATTTTTATGAGCTGTTTTCTGATTTGTTTGTAAAAGGTTTCGTTTCGTTTCGTTCGATTCAAATGGAATTTGATTTTTGAATATTTTCAACGATAAGTTCGAACTTATCTTAAACGCACAAAGGCCGTCCGTCCTGATATCAATATCAGACCAAACTAATATTACTTATCTAAGTCCGGTTGACTTTTGACTAAGCTGAACAGAAGGTCACCGTTTGTGGCTCGCACCAGTAAAAATAAATATTATTTCTCTGCAAAATTTTGAGCTGCCGGAAATGGAAACTAGCCAGCTTTTGTGTTGCCAAAGTCCACGAAAAGGTCAACCCAGACTTTCCAACTCTGGCGATGGGTTAATACTTTTGCGAAAGGTTGCATCAGAAAGTTGTTCTCCTCAAAGTTTGCAAGTCGAATGACCATTTTTAGAGAGATCTTTAGGAATTGAAATTTGGCTAAGAAACACTGCTGTAAAGATGTAATTAAGGTATTAGTTTCGATAAGAAGATTAAGAAATTAAAGAAATAATAATATACTCCTTATACAAATATAAATTACTGTGGAAATGCCAAGAAGTTCCTTAGAATTTTAAATGTATTAATATATTTATCAGTTTCTTGGAGATATGCAAATTTCATGTGAATTTCACACTTTCAATTTAAAACGGAACTAAGGAAAATCTAAGATATGCATAGAGTTTGCAATGCCCTTTCAAAAAAGGGCAAACATCATGGCCTTTGGTATAAATAAATACAATTAAATTTCGCCATTGTTTTACTGGTGCTCTCTTTACCTTGCTTATTTTATTTCCACTTGGCTGAGGCTGTGCCTTTGCCTTTTCATCAGGTTCTTTTTACTGTCCCTTAATAATTAATTCACTTCCAATTTACTGCAAACATCTCAAACAGGTTCAGAGTTCAATTGAGCTTAGACCACAGCCAATTGCAATTCCCATTTGCCCTGCCAATCCCTGTTCTATTTGTCAATCGCTTTCAATTACATTTCATTTACGCCCAGTGATTTGCAGGCATTTCCCATTTGGTCAACAATTCTTTAGTTTTCCCCTTTGCCTCCGGGAAACTTGTGGTTTATTTACTCCTTGAGCTTCAGCTTGGCCACCGCTTAATGTCCTTTTACTGCCGAACGTAGGTTCCCCCGTTTTATTACCTAATTAAAGTCGAATGTCGCATTAAATTTTCTTCAGTCGTAAAAACCGAACCAAGCAGCGAAATCATTTTCTATTTATTTAGTTTAAACTTCGGGCCGGGCGTAAAAAATGTCTGTGGATGATGGGGCGAACACTTGAAAGAGATTTATGGCCCCGATTTATTGATGAGCCGAAAAAGACGTTTGGCAAATGAGCCTTGATTGAGAGCTGAATAGAATGATGGCTGAGAGGTGGAAGTGGCTGTTGTGTCCCCACCTCCACCTCCCCAGGATGCCAAAGAAAAGCCACACACTGCACGTGTCTGCCTGTCGCGTCCTTGTATCTTTGGCTTTCCTGCACTTTTCCCGCCGCCGTGGCGATTCTCATCTGCAAATGGCACTAATGTCACGCTGATGATTCTTAATTGAGTACAGCCTACTCACAGTCTCCCACACACACACTCACACCTACGTATCCATGGCTTTGGGGCTATAAATCTAACACACACCCCTCCCCAGGCCCCTGCATCACTCATCGATTGGGGCACATGGCACAGTCGTCGCCTTCGCCAAACCACCAACATTTATCCAGGGGGAGGCACACGGTCACATGTCGAAAAGTTGGGCCTTTCTTTTGCCTAAAACACACTGAGGGAAAAATCGAAAAAAAAGATAAAAGGTTGTGATGGAATTATTAATAAAAGAAGGGGATCAAGGTTCTAGTTTAAGGAAGCTTTTATAGAGATTTTTAGATTTAAAATTAAAAGTACATAATTTTAACAAAATAAACTTGATTTCTTAATTCTTTACCCACTGATATCTTAAGTTCTATAAATACATCAACTCAAATAATAACTTCTGTATATATTTATAATCTTATTCCTCAAGTTATTTCAGTTTATTTAACAATAAATTCAACAAATAAATGTACGATTTTATTTTTAATCACTTGGTGATTCATAAGCAATTGAAAAAGGGTTTATCATGCACAGTGAGCATTTTCATTTCAGCACATTTTCCTAACTTTGTTGACTAAACCAGATTATATATTTTGATATAAACTGAATTTGTGATTATAGAGGCCAACATCAATTATGATAATATAATTCAATGTGCTGCAAAGCACTTGAATGAAGCCATCTATTTGAACTTGATAACATGCAATGACTGTGGTCTGTGGGTTATGTGTTTGCTGATCACAATATTATACATTTGAGAAGGAAATTGAATATATTTAAGACAGGTTTTGCGGTCAGTTAGATGTTCTTGGTATTAAAAAAACACAAGTACGTGTACATTAACTCGTAAGGCAAGCTGGACCTAATTAAATTTACATTTCCAGCTATCATCTGAGGTTGGTTTTTCCTGGAATTTCTCTCTGTTCGCCAGTCTCGGCTTGATGATTTCGTGACTTGTGCGCTTTGCATGGACTGGGTGCCTCGTCTATGCATGTGAGCTAGCCATTGTCCTGCTGGTCCTGGGTTCCTTTATGTTGCCTCCCCCTACCCACATCAAAAAAAAACGCACACATGTGAGGCTTTGCACTCGCTTTTCCCATCATCCCACCACCCATCTCTCCTCCCCCATTCACTGACTGGAGGCAAACAATTAGTGCAGGTTGTTGTTGTTTCGTTATCGTGTGTGTGTGTGTGTGTTTCTGCAACTGTGTTTAAACAGTTGGCGTCAAAATTATAATTAAAACGTGCATCAAAGTCGTAAGCGGCAGCACAGCATGTCACAATTTGTTATTGTTGCAGCCGACGGGCACATCACAAAATTTTGTGATTTATCGGCAAAGTCCAACCTTCCTCTCTTTCGAGCAGCACTCAGCCCGCACTTGACAGCGCGTCCTTGTGGCTTAATTGAATTTTTATTGCCAAGTTTGCATAATGTGAGCCTGTGCCAAAGAGCGAAGGATCTGCCGCTGCCCCTTGTTTGTGGCACGTTGTCGTTGGTCCAACGCGGCGTATACGTAATCCCTGCGAATTACGCACACGCCGCGTCAGCTCGAAAAATTTCGCTGAAATGCAGTGACCCATTAAGCTGCGATAAGCAACTCTAATAGTAGTAGCTGCAGCAGCAATGAGTGACCACAAAAAAATATAAATAACTGGAAAAAAGCCGGGAGTTCGGGAGTTAGGTTAGTGTGGCAGGACATGCAAACACAATAGAGCTCTATATTGATTGATACAGCGAATGATTCCAAGAATGATACAGAAAGCCAACTAGTTAGACAAGACTGATGCTTTTCTCAACTTAATTATATATAGTACAGAGCAATTCAATAGCATAAAGCTCAAAGGAGTAAAGCTTTTCTCTCATTCCTGCCATAAATATTATCAATAACTTTTATTATTGTCTAATGGAAATTTCAATGGTTAATATACTTACTTCTCAAAAACAAGCAAACGTCATTCCATAGATTGCCACCAATACCCACCAGGATTATATGCTTCATTTTCGCTGGAAAGTGTGCTACTCTTTGAATATATTTCTCTATTGTTCAGCTGCACTATAAGTGCTTCTATATGTGTGGGAGCTACTTGTGTTTGCATACTCAAGAGGGTGCCGTCAACATATCTGACGATAATCGCAAAATAAATAAATTTCCCCTGCCTCTCCAGAGACTGGGATGAATGCGAATTGAGTGAGTAGTAGTTATGGCTTCGAGCCTGTCCGATTTTTAGCCTTTGTTGTGACTCTGGCTCCACAGCCAGTCTGCTATTCTGTCAGTCTGCCAGTCAGTTAGTCAATCCATCAGTCAGTTTAGTTCGTTTTACTTGCCCTCAGGGCACTTTGCAGGGCAACAACAATAACTACAGGAAAAGAAATGGGTAAAAAAACTGCATGCGTCAAGCTGATTTTTCATTCATTGCAGCTTAGGGCATTGCATTGTTGGTGCTGCAGTTTTTCCCGCTGCATTTTCCTCTTGACTTGTGACACGGACACGCGAGGGTCCATGTGTCAAAGTTCATTAGAAAAATAGCCTCTGTGCCCTGAACATGCATTGAGTTTTTTCATATATATTTCATTTTATTCCACAAACAATGGCCTCCTCATATTGCCAATAAAACAGGAGAAACAAAATATAAATTGAATTTCCTTTTAACCGAATGCAAATGTGCAGTGAAAAGGCTCAGAGGCAAACCTCAATGGGCAACGATCTCCCCATAGTGATTTGATTTATGGAAAGGCTTTGTTTTTTAGCTGAAAAACATTTTCCAATTGAGAGATTTATGGTTATAAGGACAATATTGGTTGTTTGTTCGTTGGAATATGTAATGACAGAACAGATGGATGATTGTTTGAACTGTTATAGATGCGACAGATGATTGCCTGAACTATGATTTATTTCTAAAATGAGGTGAATAGCTGAATGACTTAATTTTCTAGACTTTATTTAGAAAAATATGACATGAAGCAGACCAATAAATATTTAAATAAATTTGACAAGTTTAAGCTGTTGCAGATGCAAGAGGTAATTGCTTCTACTACAATTTATTTCTTTATTACCAAAATGTTTAAATTTAAACAAACTCTCCCATTTACTGGCAGTAATATTTCAATCAGAATTATCGCTTTCCAATCTGACGATTACCTACAAATTATCGCTGACATACGTAGTGATTTTCTATAAATAAACCGGTTGCCTAATAAACCAATTATTATTATTATCATGCCTATTACATTGTCAGCGTTAGAGTCAAAAATGTGTGCCAGGTTGAAGACTCATTCATAAGATACGGCTATTGGCTGAACAAGACCCAGTTGACTGTCACTCAAA